ATCCTCACCCAGTTATAACAAACTTCACATGTATGCATAACAATATTAAAATAATACACGTTACCTTTTTTGGCTCTTTCAATGCTCTTGAGCTTCTCTTTAGCTTGATAAACTGCAGTGGCCTACAGAAGTATACCACCGTTAAATCGTAGTTTAAATACTGTGCATTTCAGAGTGTGTTCACATTCTTCACAACTCGGGCAGTCTGGCTGACACATGAATCTGGGTTGTGGTTTTCATGCTGAAATTGATCGAGTCATTTTGACGCATTTGCATCACCCTTCATCACTGATGGTTGCCTTTCCAAGTGATACATCGTTTCCATTCAAATAATAATAAGAGCCTGAAGGCACTTCCCTCTCGAGCAGCAGTAGGGAACTTTTTCATTGACAACGGCCCACGGTCACGTGAGACCTATCACTTCTAAACGGCCCGCAAACTAGACGTACACAATGCTGCAATTATCTCAGATACTAAAAATAAATATTCTTGACCAAGCAAAATCGTGTCTCTAATTTTCGCGTGCCCGTTTACTTCTGTCACTCTGAAGGGCCCCTTTCACGCTTTGGAAGTTGGGAGTGTGTGTTGCCAATGGAAGTTGGGAGTGTGCGTTGCCAATGGAAGTTGGGAGTGTGTGTTACCAATGGAAGTCGGGAGTGCGTGTTACCAATGGAAGTCGGGAGTGTGTGTTGCCAATGGAAGTCGGGAGTCTGTGTTACCAATGGAAGTCGGGAGTGTGTGAAGCCAATGGAAGTCAGGAGTGCGTGTTACCAATGGAAGTCGGGAGTGTGTGTTGCCAATGGAAGTTGGGAGTGTGTGTTACCAATGGAAGTCGGGAGTGTGTGTTGCCAATGGAAGTCGGGAGTGTGTGTTGCCAATGGAAGTCGGGAGTCTGTGTTACCAATGGAAGTCGGGAGTGTGTGAAGCCAATGGAAGTCGGGAGTGCGTGTTACCAATGGAAGTCGGGAGTGTGTGTTGCCAATGGAAGTTGGGAGTGTGTGTTACCAATGGAAGTCGGGAGTGTGTGTTGCCAATGGAAGTCGGGAGTGTGTGTTTCCAATGGAAGTCGGGAGTGTGTGAAGCCAATGGAAGTCGGGAGTGCGTGTTACCAATGGAAGTCGGGAGTGTGTGTTGCCAATGGAAGTTGGGAGTGTGTGTTACCAATGGAAGTCGGGAGTGTGTGTTGCCAATGGAAGTCGGGAGTGTGTGTTTCCAATGGAAGTTGGGAGTGTGTGTTACCAATGGAAGTCGGGAGTGTGTGTTGCCAATGGAAGTCGGGAGTGTGTGTTGCCAATGGAAGTTGGGAGTGTCGTAAGATAATATGGTCCCCCCCCCGGTGGTTATTGGATAGATTACAGATAGGATCTGCAACGTTGGTTCTCCCCAACTTCATCACGAAAGACTTCTACTGGACTCAATCTATATATATAAAAGGGAAATTTGTTAATGTGTCTGTTCGAAATGTTTAGCTTACTTCCCGACATGCAACAAACTTGAAATTTGGCATGTGGGTAGCTTCCAGACTGTACACAATGCAAAACGTATAAAAATAGACTTTTGTATTTGGGATGGGGGGGCGCAATAATGGATATATTTTGCACGGCAAGTGAGTGGTAAAGTCACATCTGCGATGTCACCTGCATGCGGCAGCGTTACGCAACGTGCCTACTGACGTCACGCATCGCTCCCCCACCCTCCATATAGGCCGTGTATTAATCCAAGACAATAATTTTTGTCCCGGGCGAAGCCGTGTAGTAAAGCTAGGTATATTATATATATGCAACGACCACAATGTTCGTTCAGTACTGGGATTATATAAAATCTACGCAATTACTGGCTACCGACTCACTTCTGAGCCTCAGAACTGTGCCAATGTTCAGTTCAACTTTTCACCATCAGCATTCACATCACCTTGCTTAAGGATAAAGCCAAGACTAAAAAAAACACCGAGATTTGTCCCAAATTGTGTATGTTACCTCTCAGCCATATTGAATCATTTTGTACGTATGTTGAACTTCTTTCGTACCGTACGTAGCCAACCGTGCTAATCGGAGGTGCGGGGGAAGGATAACACACTAAACACAAAAAGCACGTTCTAAAGAAATGAGTTTGTCAATCTATTTTTAAAAGCGCATCGCTCCAGTGACTTCCTAATATATCGGAAGGGGAAAAACGTTCCCCAAACTCCTGGCGTGCGTGCGTGCGTGCATGCATACGAGGATATGCTGAGCCTCCTTGAGCTGCCGCTGTAGCCGCTGGATGTCCTGATCCCTCCTCTCTGCCTCTCGCTCCAGCCGCAGTATCTCCAGGTGGACCTCCCCCTGCTCCGCCGCGCATTTCAATGCAGACTGCAGCTCCTCATCCTTCCTGATCAGCAGCTCTAAGATCTGAAGGGAAAATAAGTAACGTTGAAAAATCCTTTATTTTAAACACATTTTAATGAAATGTACCGTACGAGTAATGGCAGAAGTCCACGACTCTAGGAAGTGGCCCCGAAGCTTGCCACAACGTAAGGGGACCGTGGTGATTTACAGCCAACGTCAGTTGAGCGTGGACAATCAGACCCAAGCCGAAACATAACATATAAAAAAAGATTGTTTAAAAATATATATTTTACATTTTTAACGATAGAATATATTATTGTCATCAGTATGCCATAAATATACCAAGTTTGCAGTCGATACGACATTGGCAAGTGGGTTAAAATTGAGTTACAAGATTTGAGGATACAACAACAGAGTGAGTTTATAAAAAGCGTGTAAAATGAATGTTTTTAAAATTATTTTTTATGATAGAATATAGTATTGTCATCAGTATGACATAAGTATACCAAGTCTGCAGTCGATAGCACATTGGGGAAGTGGGTTAAAATTGAGTTACAAGATTTGAGGATACAAAAGACCAGTTAAATAAAAAGCGTGTAATAATAAAAACAAAACCGTGTAACGTCGTTTTACACACGTACGAACACCGGGGTGGGCGAACACGATCCTCTCTCCTCTTGGCGTACGGTTCACGCGTTTAAGGGACAATATCAAAGTATAGGGGGGGGGTGCTTCTAGCGTTGTTTGTCTTCTTACGAAGCAGCAGAATTCCGTGTTAGTCCACCGTCTGGTTAGACTTAGTTGTAATTACTGTGCTCGGTTAATCGGTTCGGTCCGACTATATTATTGTCGAGCCCGTTTATTTATCATAGTAGTAACGAGATTTATTTGACATCTCGGGGCAGTGTGAACACACCCCCCACCCCCACCTGTATCTCTTCTCCATACTGGCTGGACTTCTGGTTCCTTGACAAGGCGAGCGTTTCCACAAGTTCCCTGCAACACACGCGCGCACACAGACACACACACACAGAGCAAAATTAGATCACAAACTTGTTTCATAACCAACAGAATAAATCAATTTTTAAGGTTCGTCCGTCACGGGGAGAGGGTTGGGTTGATCACTTCATGCCGCCCAGTGCGGGTTGGTTAAAGGAAGCACATATTGAGTACCTATCCAGATCCGCATGGATGGAAAGGACATCAACTGATGCGATGAAGGTGGATTATTAAGATCGCAGGATCGCGAGAGATGGCGGCTTGCGGAGGCATTCATCCAGCGGTGGAATGACACAAGGCAGAGATGATCTTTGGCGTTACATGGAATCGCGCATTTAAGTCTCCTGTGTAGAGTTGACCGCGGCTTCTGTCCCCTGCACTATTTTAAGCACACTTAAACGTTCCACAGCGATAATACAACGGGCATTAAAAGCTTAACTTTACATTATAATCGTTGACGGTAGAAAACAACAAAAAATCATCCGAGTAAGCCAACATCGATCTCGCCTAGAAAATTGGCCGGAGCCCGACGCAAGGCCGCCGGCAGCGCCTACGAAGACCAGGCTACCCCTTATCGCTCCCCCTGCAGAATAAGAGAGAAAACGCTCTCCCGCTGCGAACGAACTTCGCCCATCGTGATGCAGAACACGTACGAAGTTTCCTCTACATCGGTGGATGTTTTGTCGTACCTCGATAACACTTCGATGTCATCCAGAAGCGATAAGAGCCTTGCCCTGGTGCCCAGGCCGCTGGCGGACGCCATGTGGAGGGGCGGGGTTGTGGGGGGGGGGTTAATGAGGGGGTGGGGGGTGAGGGGCGGGGGTGGAGCAATCCAAATTAGAACGTATTTATATTGGAGGAATCCGATGAGCTATAAAGCTCTTCTTCACAGACGTCCAGTAAGGGGGCGGGTCAGATACGTTACAAGAGGCAGGAAAGGGAGCGGGGAGAGAGGATGGACGAATTGGGGGTGGAATAAATGGGCAAGGAGGAGTGGAGGGAGAATTTGGGGGATATGGGGGTAGAAGAGAGGAGGGGGGAGGAGGGGGGGAGGTGAATAGGGGGAGGAGCGAGGTGAGGAGGAAGGATGAATAGGGGGAGTAGGAGTGAATAGGGGGGAGGGGTGAATAGGGGGAGGGGTGAATAGGGGGAGGGGTGAATAGGGGGGGGGGGGGGGAATAGGGGGAGAGAGTGAATAGGGGGGAGGGGTGAATAGGGGGAGGGGTGAATAGGGGGGGGGGGAGAGTGAATAGGGGGATGGGTGAATAGGGGGGAGGAGTTAATTGAGGGGGGGAGGTGATTAGGGGAGGGTGAATAGGGGGAGATGGGGGGCTGGTTTTAAAAAAAGGTGATGGGAGATTGAGGTAGGAGGCATCGTGGGGGGGGGGGGTGAGAGGAGAGGCGTGGGGGGAAGAGGGCAGACGGGGAGGGACTCAGGGGGTGGGGGGGGGAATGGGGGGTGAGGGGGGGGAATGGGGGGTGAGGGGGGGGAATGGGGGTGAAGGGGGGTGGGGTGAGGGGGGGTGAGGGGGGGGAATGGGGGGTGAGGGGGGGAATGGGGGTGAGGGGGGAGGAAATGGGGGATGGAGGGGAGGGGTATAAATGGGAGGGGCATAACGGGGAGGCGGGAATAATGGGGGATGAGGGGAGGGAGAATGACGGGATGGGAGGGAGGGGGGCCGTTGGAGGTGGGGGCTCCGCGCATGCGCAGTTGAGAGTTTGACAAGAGAAACGCGGAGTTGTTTTGAGGCTTTGCGGGCCGAGGCCGCGGCTGGTTTTATATAATAAAGGAACGTTTTACACATAGAAATAAGATAACAACGAAGTCTATCGCGTATTTATTTTTGTATGTTTGTACATTTGTACTAATACCATTTGTTGCTGTGTAGAAGACATGAACAACAAGTTTGACGCGTGAGTTGGTAGTCGTGGCGGCGTCAAGGCGCTCGGCCTAGCTGTGGCTTCTATGCGGTTTAATGTTAGGCGTTTGAATGATTTAAGCCATTAAAGTTGTTAAAACGTGTACAATTAAACTTCCCATTTCTCGTAAAGGCCTTTTTACGCGAGTAATAGCTTTGGAATTCCATTGCTCCAAGGACAGACTAACTTTGCGCCGTGTGAGTGAGTACATTAGTTGACATGTGCTCCCAGCTCGTTTCACATTTATCATTCTAATCCAACGAGTCCTTTGCGCTCCCCCCTCCTCCCCCCTCAACAAAATGATAATTTATCTAGCTAACACGTGCGTTGTGATAGCCGTGTGTTTTGACTGAATAGCATGTACTGTTTGACTCCCCACGTTGCGTAATTGAATACTGTCGGTGTACAGTGAACCGTCTGTGACCAATAGACCCGGAATGCGTGTCTGTGATCTCGTAAAGCTCAGCAACCTTGAGCCTGGATTAATGCCTTGAATGATCGACTTACCCCATGGCACGGCACGTTATTTCGTTAAACGCTTCATTGTGGGTGGCACAATCCATTATAGTAACCGCGCGATTGTTAACCACCCCATACGCCCCCTCCCCTTAATTCACCAACCCGCACCTACCAGTGTGGTGAAGTATGGTCAAATAATCCTCTCCCGCCATCCAGCAGTGGAGTTACGAAGCGCTGCACAACGTGTACATGTAACCAGTAAATATACAACCGGTTGCAATGGTCCGGCAAGTACAACCTGTTTACCTGAGAATATAAGGTTACTCTTGTAACGTACGGCGCGAAATAATTTAAACATACAGTGTATACATACAGACACCAAAAGTGCAGTTCATGATGATGTTCAGAGGTTTTCAGTACAGATATGAGTACAGTAGTGCAGTTGTAAACCACGTCAACATCCAGTTTTATTTTTTTTTATAATCCACTACCGTATGAGGGCCCACCCAACACCCAGGGGGTATTTGACCATACTTGGCCATACTTCACCATGCTGGTCAGTAAGGGTTGGTGAAGGTAAGTGAGGGGGAGGGGGTGGTGGCTAGGTTTAAATACCCACACCGCCCATTATTACACCTCCACTTTGCGCATGGTGGTCTTCTATCTTAAGCACTTATGCTCCGTCCGTCCCATGCGTCTGAGATCTGGGGAGACAGATCGCTTGCATCCTTGGTGATTTGTTAATCGTCTATGTGTGGACACCACGATTGCAGGCAGTACAGCAACATACATTGTTGTACTTGCGATTCTATGCTCCCACCAACCTGCACTGACCACCGTGGGGAAGCCATGGTTAAGTAACCTGCCACGACCCGCATTGACTTGAGGAGGGCACCTCATCCACACAGTGCCGTTGACAAAAGGTCTGTGAGCACGTTAACACTGCAACATGCACAGTTTGTAAGTCAATATTGTCCAATTTAAAAAAAAACATCTTTTGTAGGATCCTGAACCGCCGTGTCAGGCCAGGGGTCTAATTGTCACCTTTCTCGGTGAGCTGTTTTAGAATTTACTCTGCAGAAGGTTTTCAAACACCCTCGGCAAAGATAATGTTTATTGCCAGTGTATTCTAATTGCCCGCTATGTAAAATTAGCCTTCCTCCTGTGCTTGTTATTTTTACTCGATGTTCATTTCCCAATTCTATTATTGGATTGGTGCGAGTTGCGCTTGGAGCGCTGCTTGACTTGCAGTCAGATGTTCGTGAGTTCAAATTGTGTTCTGTGATTGACTCAACCCATCATCTCTCTCTGGAGTCCAATATTACGAATGTTCCCTTGGATAAAAGTCGTCATTGATAAACTGCCCCTGCCATGCTACCCGGCATGGTGAGGTCTTCATCCAGCAGTGGACTGATAGTGGCGTATGTTTTTTTAATATATATTTTTTTATGGAATGGTTTGTCACTGAGGTATCAACATCCTTTCATGCTGTGTGGTTTGAACATTTTGCGTGATAAGGGTTCGATCATTATGGGATTTTGACGTTTGAAAATTCGATAAGATAATAACCCTGCTTAAAACTATTTTTACTACGTCAAATATCAGTGCGATAGATATTGATTGTATGTGTGTGTTGTGTTTTTCAGGCTTAAAGATGATGATAGCGGAGACCACGATAACAATGAAGAAAATAGCACACAGAAAAACAGTGAAAAGGAAAAATCGCCGAATGCATCACGGCACAAAGTACGTGTTCTTCTGCTTGACGTGTGGACGTGTTGTTATTCTTTACCAGGGATGTTAAAATCTGTTCAGCGATGGCTCTAAAACAGAAGTGGTGGGGTTAATTCACCTGCTAAATTTAGCTCAAGAGTGCTGCTTCAGGATGGAGGTGGAACCACGGCTTGTGTAAGTGGTGTGAACATTCAATGCTGTTGCATTTTTTTGAATATTGAACTGCTACTCTTTGGTTTTTTCGGTAAAGTCACGTAGGTAAAATAAAATAAATGAAAACAACTAAATTAAATCACGACGTTTTCGGAGGCACCACAAGCCTCCGAAACATCGTGATTTAATTTAGTTGTTTTCATTTATTAATATACGTTTTGGAGGCAACACGTCGTGATTTCATTTCGTTTTCATTTATTTTATTTTACCTACATGACTTTACCAAAAAAAACAAAGAGTATCAATCCTTGCAGTCACGAAAGCTTAAAATCTAGAATTATTGAACTGCTGTTTTGGCACTGGACCATAATGCAGTCCTGGGAATGGACTCTTAATGATTTAGCAGGATTGTATCGCTTTAAAACAGTGGAGAGGTAAGGTATAGTGTTGAAAGGGACATCTGTTTTTGAGGCACGAGTAATGTCTTTGTTAGTGTAGGAGTAAATTGTGATTTAAAGCTTTCGTGACTGCAGTAATTCATATTCTTAGTTTTTTCGGTAAAGTCACGTTGAAGAGAAACAACAAAATAATATATATTTTATTAAACTAAGAATATAGTGTAGGAGTAGTTACACTTGAGCAAGATAACAAACAATTGGCTCTTTAACATAGGTACATGCAGAGGAATTGAGGTATTTTATGCCAGGGCAGAGAAAGAACAACATGAATTTAGGAATATAATTTGGCAAGGAAATGTTCTCGAGGTAAGACGGGTTCAGGAACGGGTGGGACTGATGGAAGATGTGGTACACAACTTAGATTGTATGATAGAACATTATGGGAAAGGACTGTAGATTTTAATGATCAAGAGGAGGTTGTGTGATAGGTGGGACGCATGTACGGGTACGAGCAGAGCAGGTTATCGAGACCAACCATGGAGTGGCACCCAGTGATCTGCGACTAAGAGAATGACAAAAATCCAGGTGGTCTTGTTGATCCTGTAAATTGTGGTCCTTGGACTTTGGATGCCAGCTGTGGCAGCAACATGAAAACGGAACAACACGTGTGGTGCCAGATGGTGTTAGTTGTGAGGACCTTTCTACCTACACCAATGCACGACCATTACAAATTGTCTCGGACAAGTTTGTTAACTCGTAGTCGCTCGAGCTGCCAGTTGGCTTGATGTGGTTTTTTGACGTTCAGAATGATTGCCAGTGCTGTATGCCACTGCTCAGTTGTGGAGGAAGAGTTGTTAATGACTTTTTTTAAAGTCAATGTTCAATAAAATGTAATGTTGTTTTAAGAGTAAGGGTTTAACAAGTTGCTCCCCTCATGATTCAATGCATTTTTGTGATTAAATTAAAACAAATTACTACGTTTTAATAATTTTGTAGTGGCTGGAAGGGTCATGTGAACACATTTTACATGCGTTATATACAGATTGTTAAGCATCGATTCTAACACACATTGAATGCACATATTGTTAGCACAACATTCATTATTAATTGATTTGTCATTTCTTACCTTCCAATAATGTTATAGCCCAGCAAACCATTGTGAGAAATATTGTATGCAAGTATACAATTGCGTGAAAATACAACTTAAGCTCACCATTTAAGCCACCTTAAAATCAAAAAGGTCTGACCCAAGGGCCACTTTAGTGTAAAGGCATCAGTTTTTGGGCCTATTTGATTGCTTTTCTTAATATGAAAATAAAAATACAAGTGTGCCTCTGTTTTTGTAAAATGAGCACAACTTTATTGGAAGTTAGCCATAGTTGGGATACGCACAAAGTGGCCCCTCCCATCAGAATGTGGAACACATTCCTGTGGAGGGAGCTGGTAAGAACGTTGGGTTGCTCGGTCAATGGCCAGGGTCAACGGTGGCGTGGTGTATTCCACAAATATGCCCGACTGTGAGGGCGGGCACAAGCCGGTGTGAGTAGGTTAAACGTTGAGTTTTATAAGGGCACCACGGGGTGACCAGCCCCTCCCCACCCCCCCACCCAGCCCCTCCCCGCCCTCCCCTCCCCACCCAGCCCCTCCCCACCCTCCCCTCCACCCAGCCCCACCCCTCCCATTTTTGGATGCACGACGTACGGACACAATAATCCCCTGTAGGCTGGTGTAACCAGGAGGTTCCTACCCGTATTATCGTGCTCCCTGTATATATCGTTGCCATGATTGTGAATGAGTGAAATGGCCAGAATCAAGATGTGGCTATGCAGTGACAACATAAATGGCTGACCATGAGCTGCTTAAACATGTTTCAATATTGGTCAAGTTGGGAGATTAATTATGGGTAATGGGTGAGTTGGCATTAATCATTATTCTTTATAGAGATAAGGATAATACATGTTTATTCATTTCAAAATCTTGAATAAATGTCGCGGGAGTAATTGCAATATATTGGCAGTCCTGAACGAGCGGTATAAATTCCTAATTCTTGTGGCTAGGACCAATCTCTTCGTAAGACAGTCACAATTAATATCCAACAAATTGGTACTCATTTTATTGACTATGGAGGAATCGTGTTGAGGCTATACCGGCCTAGATTTGAACTTGGACCCTTCTGCTTGTGGGTCAAGCACTGCTATCGTGCTCCCTTGCGGGCTCTTTATCGTTACCGGCATTAATTAGCAGTGTAGTTACTTGGTTTGTGAAGTGGGAAAATAAACATCCAAACAAAGGTGTTGGTAGTTAAGTGGCAGCATATCACGAGATTGGTGTCGCATTCGTAAACACGCCGCTGTGTCCACGAATCTGACGTGGCATTTGCAAGAGCATTGTCGCGTTTGCGAACAAAAAGGAAGCAAGGTTGCCTCTTCGTTGATAAACATCCCGCTGCCGAGTTGCAAGCTCGGCGTTCGCGCGTCGCTGGCGATCGCGGTCGAGTTGGAGCCACAACAAACGGGCCGGTTCTGGTCCCGCGCGAGGTTGTCCGTTGCAGCCCGTGGATTGTAGGAAGAGTGAATAAAATAGGGGTGTAGATAGGAGGCGATTCACTCGTGTTAACGCGGTTCGTCGTGGTACAAGACGTACGGCGCTTGGCTGCGTTGGTGTGACGTTGCGTGTCCTCATGGGACCAGTTCGCGTGTGCCCGACTCCCGCAGGTCACGGTGCCGGGGCCCGGGGAGCACCCGCTGCAGTACAACTACTCGCTGTGGTTTTCTCGGCGGACCCCCGGTCGGCAGGCCTCCAAACAGAACTACGAGCAGAACATCAAGCACATCGGCACCTTTGCTTCCGTGAGCCCGCCGCGCACGTTTCCTTGCACCCAGGCCCCGCACTCGGCGCGCCGGCAGAGTGTGCGTCGGTATAGCATCCTTCAAGTCATTCGCTTTTGACAGCTGTGGTCTGTTTCATTGAGACACGGTGATCTCTGTATATGGGCTTGTCCCAAGTCTCTCATTGACAGTAGCAGGCGCAGATTCGTCAGTGATTTCACGTATCGAGTATCAGTGAGGATGACTACTAGCTTGCCACCAGCTCGGTTAGGGACGTCTGCCTGATCTGACGTTACTGGTGATCTTCAGGGTTTTATATGATATCCATGGAAAGCTTCATGGGGAAACTTGGATTGTCCAATCGTGAAGCATGTTTTGTGGATTGTGAGTCTTCGACTTCTGCTTAACAGAGTCATTGTCCTTAAGCCCTGTCGGGTGCTTTACTGGCTTTGTGAATAAATTATAGCAGTCTAAAGCATAGTGTCTTAGCCGTGTGTCTGGCAACCAATCATGACTACTTAAGATTTCAGTGAACGGTGGTGCCTGTGTGGCACAGAGGTCGGAGTACTGAACTCTCACCTCCTGAGGTCCTGGTTCTCAAGTGTAGGGAGTTGATCAAATTAGCCCGGTCACCAAAGACTATACAAAACAACCCATTGTGTTTAAAATGTGTATATTTTTATTATTATATATTTCTGTGCTGAGAATGTAAAAAAAAATCATTTTGGTGTGTAACGAACGCTACAACAGTTGTGGTGTAATGAGGATAATGAGATCTGATTTAAATTGCTTGAGTATTAGTTCTTCGAATGCGTCTTTGGCGATTTTTTTTGACACAGGGTGTAGTAACACTGCCCACTGCAAGAGTTCACATCATTCCCAATTGAGGGCTTTGTCATTACGTCTGCATTAACGCTGCTCATTGCATCGGTGTGACTGACGGCGAGACGGCGTTTGTTATGTCCGTGTCGTTTGTGTTTGTGTCTGCGTGCGTATGCGCAGGTGGAGATGTTCTGGAGGTTTTACAGCCACATCGTGCGTCCCAGTGACCTGACGGGGCACAGCGATTTCCATCTGTTCAAAGAGGGCATCAAACCAATGTGGGAGGTGTGCCAGGGAACCTTAATTTTACATTGCTATGTGTGCGAGCAAACTGCCACCAGGTGTGGTATCAGCATATACGGTAGACTCTCGATTTTCCGCGCTAATGACGGGGAAGACCGCCGCGGATTATTAAAAATTGCGGATAGTCCAAAAATATTCATAATAAAGGTTTTTGGGTTAGATCGCGTTATCTATAAATGTGTCGCAACCCTCCATCACCTGACACGGCCAGTCAGTAAAAATATGTGTCACGTTGACAAAAGACAAAATAGTTCACTACTTTAGCCCACCGGTGTGTTGAAGAGTGAATCCACAACATTTCCAATTTTTTGAGTACGACGTTTCGCTGGTAATTACATCCAGCATCATCGGGCAATTCTCCAGAATGGTGAAGCCCTCCACACATTTTTATTTATTGGCCGTGTCGGGTGGTGGAGGGTTGCGACAAATTTATAAGTAACGCGATCTAACCCAAAAATCTTTATTATGAATAATATTGGTCGCGAAAGCCTACATGTTAAAGTCCAAAATTATCCATTTTCCGCGAAGCTTTATGCAAAAAACCACAAATGTAGATGTAAATTATGTTTTAAGTTAAGAAAATGTAGTTGATGAACAAAAAGCTGTCGTAAACAATGTATTGATCTTGTTTTATTACAAAAGTCCATACAAAAAGACACTTGAACGTGTTTGAAAAATCCTAAAAAGATTTCTGCTTCAATGAGCTAGCATCCCGCGCAAAAGACTTGGCCCACTAAGTGGATATCAGAGCCATGCCAATCAAAATCAGCCTCCACCCACAGTTGTAAAGATATGCAACTACTGTACTGTAGGGGCGATCACTGGGAATTCGGATTAACCAGAGCAAATATTTGTTCAAATTAAGCACCTGACTTGTAATAAACATTTCCAAGAATAACAATATATAACTGTTTTTAGATTATTAATTTGGACTTAAGGGAAACATCAATTAGTTATTGACTTATATAAAAATCTCAGGTGAGTGGTTCATCCACAAATCGATAAACCGCACGCGGATAATCGAGTCTACTCTTTAATATACATACCCTTAGAGGGCAAGTGTAGAGTGTTTGCAACTGTGCGTGTATGCACATGTCTACGTGTCAAGGTTTAAGGGTTTCCTCCTCGATGAATAATACTTAATACTGTACGTACATGTAACAGCCCTTTTATCAACCCACTGCTGACCGAGGACCCCTCCCTCACACTGTGCGGGTCGTGGGTGTTATTTGACAAATATTTCGTGTTAAGTCATTGGTGGTTCACGAAGGCAGGGAGGGCATAAGAACAGCATAGCAACAGGATTTGTTTCTGTACTGCCGATGTCCACTATGTAGCCCTACGACACCCTGCAACACCACGGTATCCTGGGTGCTGTGGTGGCGAGATGTTAGTTACCTCGTCTGGTATACAGGAGGTCGTGGGTTCAATTTCGACCCCGACGCCTGCTGCTGTATATTTGCACTTTGCGTGTTCTCGCCGTGGTCGCGTGGATTTTTCTCCGGGTCCTCCCGTTTATCCCTCCACACTTAGAAATATGCGTTTAAGAGTATTTGTGCTCGCTATATATTTCCACGTGATAAGCCACGTCGTTGGGCTATGATTTATGGCCAGATCGCATGTGAAAAAGAGCTATATAGGTGAGTGAAACTTACCTGGTAAAATTAAAAAGAGTTTAGTTTTAACACCTGCTGTAATGTGGTGAATGCCCCCCCCCCCATCCTTCCAGGTGCTGTTCAGGATAAACTCTGATCCGAGATCTAACGAGCTCGGGCACATTCTGGGTGGTTTGATCATGGGCGTTGGTTGGCATTGTGGGTCGCAAAGAGATTAGGGTCTTTAAATTTGTGATGTAAAAAAAAAGTCACCGGATAAATGTACGTTCTAACCAGTTGGTAACCCATTCAGTTGCAAGTGTCTTTTGCAAGCGAGACCTTGAGTGGAATTACAATTGAAATTTAAGAATACATAAAACATACATCAGAAGAGAAAAGAAAAAAACAAAGACGTTTCATTAAATGAAATAGCTCATGTAAGTGCAAAAACCTCATCCAAACAATATGCAGCAAATATGTTCAAAATGTGTTAATTCAATTGTAATGACAACAATTTGAAGTAATGGAATTGTACTACATTTGGAGTAGCCTGCATTAACAGTTATACTCAAAATAACCACAATTTACATAGCATCTAAATGCAATAGTGTTTCAAGACACACAAAAATAACATTTGGATAGATGGTGTGGGTGCGGGCGGCCAGGCAATCAGGCAATCGCGCGACACGAGAAGGGAGAGCAAAACCGAGGCACAGACACAGTCCAGGACGAAGCAACCAAGTCCCAGCACCAGCAAAGAGCCCCAGCAACAGCTGCAGCATCCAGCAGAGCACCAATAGGATCAGAATCAGAATATTTATCTTGCAGGAATAAATAGTCTGATTCTGATCAGACTGAGCTATATAGCTTCTTTTTTTTACACATGTCCAGTAGTTGGGGCACAGGGTAAGAACGTCACAACAACAAACGATACAAAAACACGATAGTGAAACGTTAAAGAAAGGTCAACAAATCGCCCAAGCGCATACAAATACAGTAACCTTGGATTGCGAGCATAATTCGTTCCAGAGACGTGTTTGTAATCCAAAGCACTTATATCAAAGCACTCGTATATCAGTTGTGATCACGTGACGCTCGGCAGACAAAGTGTATACGTACTACTCGTATTGCAAGACCTCGATCGTTTATCAAATTAAGATTTATTAAAACATTTTGCTCGTTTTGCAAAACACTCGCAGACCAACTTCTTTGGTTCTTTCGGTAAAGTCACGTAGAATGAGATTAAAATAATAAAATAACAATAAAATTCTCACAACGTTTCGGCCGCAACGCAAGCGGCCGAAACGTGAGAATTTTATCGTGTTATTTTATTCTCATTCTGCGTGACTTTACCGAAAGAACCAAAGAAGATTAATCCTTGCAGTCACGAAAGCTTTAACTCGCAGACCAAGTTACTCGCAATCCAAGGTTTTACTGTACAACTAAACCATCCCCATCCTACCAGGCAAAGCCCAATGAAGTGGATTATGATTGCTCAATGAAGTGGCTTATCATTTATACATTTATACCACCTAAATAGTCCAAACGCATGTTTATAAACCGTGCAGGGTGATCAATTTATAGATACCGCATGGAAATGATTGGAAGAATATTTAAAATCAAAGACGATTGCTTTTTAGGGCAGTTTAGAATTGCAATCCTGTACATGAAACACTCCAGCAGGGGGCAGTACAACAAGCAGATGACAACCCCGGTTGTCCAACGTTTGGGCGTTTCGTACGGAATCATGTTTTCTAAGAAATTTGCCAAACTCTTAAGCAGTGCCCTCTTTGATTGAGCCTTAAGTATTCCTCGAGGCTTTTCTCAAGGACCTCATTCATTTAGGTGTGCTTCTGCAGCCGTCTGGAACGCTCCTATAAGGAAGCCACTTTTTCATCCACATTGAAAACTAATTTCTTTAGAACTGCTTTTTGTGTTTAGTTTGTTGTCCTTCCCCTGCACTTCCTTGGATAAATACGATTGGCTATGTACGGTGCGAAAGAAGTTCAACATACATACATGGATACATCTTGTTTGGTTGTTGGGGAGTGGTCGTGTACTGGTTAGTGGGGTGCGCTGCGAACCCGGCGACCCGAGTTGGATTCTCGCTCACGGCCAACACCAGTGACGATTATCAGAACCGGTCCTAGACCTCCCTAAGGTCGACTCAGCCTCAATGAGTGCCTGGTGCGGTGTGTAAACATCGCCACTGGGAAGACAAAGGCGGCCGGGTGTGGTGCTGGCCACCCACCCCCTCGTGCGCCGTGCCGGCCTTCATAGGTGCTCGCTAACCAGCACTTGCCCCAACAGTCTGTTGAAGGCTGCACGAGGGATGTTTATCTTTTAAATTTGTTATTGTTTTGACTTGAACTAGGACGATGCAAACAAGAGCGGGGGCAAGTGGATCGTGCGGTTACGGAAGGGGCTGGCGTCACGCTGCTGGGAAAACCTCATTCTGGCCATGCTGGGGGAGCAGTTCATGGTTGGGGAGGAGATCTGTGGTGCCGTCGTCTCCCTACGATTCCAGGTCCACCCACCCTCCTCCTCTACATTGATTTGTGCGACTGGACAGCGTGAAGCAAATTGGATGCACGTGAAATGACACATTTTCTGGTGTTTGAACCCGGCGTTTCGGAATTGCCGAATCATCGCTTACAACACAGGCCCATTGAGTCGGCCAGACACTGCTGGGTTTTTTTGTTGGCAGTGTTTAAAAGAGCGCTTATTTATCACTTTGTCTGCAATCGATGGGAACCGGCTGTGTCAGCCCAGGAACAGCCCAGGGAACAGTCTGGGGGACGTCATGAGATTGGTTTAGCCCAGGAGTCGGCAACCTGCGGCTCCGGAGCCGACTGCGGTGGCTCTTTAAGAAACTGAAGTGCGGCTCTTGGGATTCGAAATAAATGACGCTTTTTATTTTGGTTGCCGACTCCTGATGATGGAAGTCCAGTTTACCATGGCCAGGGGTCAGCGACCTGCTGCTCCGGAGCCGCATGTGTCTCATTAAGGACTGCTTCATTACGTTATGTATTAAGGACCACCGTCTCGTATTTGCATGCATTCGGTTTTTGAAGTATTGTGTGTTTTTACCGAATGAGAAAAAAAATACTTATTTTTAGCCACATCTGGCTGCTTTTGAGACACAGGCACTTGGGCTCAGCCTGGTGCCAGCGCACAGAGAGCACACTTACCCACTGGCTCTGTAAGAAATAGTAAAATTGTTGCCTCCCAATGTTAGGCAGGCCCTGGGTACAGCTTGTAAATTGCACATTTAGCCAAAAGTGTATGGTCAAAGGATCCTCTTTGCAGGACACTGACTAAACGCATTTTCGCCTTGGAATATCCCCGCAGGAGGACATTATTTCCATCTGGAACAAGACTGCGAGCGACCAGGGAACGACATCGCGAATACGAGACACTCTGAGACGCGTGCTGAACCTGCCTCCAAACACCATCATGGAGTACAAGACTCACACGGACAGCATAAAGTGAGTCCCCCGGATAGCGCCGTGCCGTGCGAGCCAGCGCGGTCGCAGTCGGTGGTTAAAGGGGGCAGCTGCCGTTGCTGCCGACGAAGCGGAGGGGGGGGGGGGGGACCATTTTCAAAAGGGCGATGAAATCTGAGCGTCTCGGCGGAGGCGTGTGGCGGGTTTGGCAAGCGGCAACGCAGTTAGCGGAATTGAATTTTGTCGCATGTGGTGTGTCTTCTGCGGCACGTGGCGTTCGCTTTCGTCGCTGCTTGAAACTCGCCGCAGTCGCTGCCAAACTTATTGAAATAATTACTCTATTCATAATAATTACTCTATGTTGCAAATTGGTTTTTATTCTGCCCAGATGCGAAGCCGAGCGTTGGAGTCATTTGGAAAATGTTTGGAGTCATTTGGAACGATGAAGCACTGCTACTCCCTACAGAGAAACTGTTGGCTAAATTGTTTTTTTTTTTAATCCGTGTTGTGTAAATAAGTATCGTGTGATTGTTTTTTTTTCTCATCAAATCACGATACTATTATTACTAATGCGCTGTCACATTCGTACACTGAAACACAGTTTATCAGCTTTGTTTTGCCAATTCTTCACATGAAACCTCAGTTGGCTACCATTCTCTGTTCGGGCGAACACTATTCAAACATAGCACTCTGGTGCATCGGCACTGCGGTGTGCGGCAGTATGTTTTCTATGTTAAAATGTGTGATTTGGCGTGTGTTCCAACACAGGAACCAAAACATGAGCATTCAGAGATATTGAAACATTTATCCTTTTTGCTTATTGAAATGTAAAATTGGATTTGTGACTTAAAAATGTATTTACTTAAATCAGTGCATAGGGTAATTAAATACAAATGCTGTTGTACCATTGGAATAAAGACGTTTTAATTGCTCAATGTGGATTATTTTTTGTCGTTGCAAAATGGAATTAATAACGTACGTACGAGTATGTAATGCAATGGATAAGGGTCTGTGAGTAATAAGGGACAGTGGATGGACATGTGTATTTCATCACTGATGTCTGTACATTGTACACCAAGTGTCAACCTCCTGTTCAATTAAAATCTCACTCGCGCAGACAGCCAGAGAGCTCTCTTGAAATGAGGAAGAGGCACATTGAGCAAGTGCTTTCCTGCCATGCTGCAATATTCAAACCCTGAAACTAGACTTTTTATTTTACCAGGGTAAGGCCCCCACAGAGCTATGTAGCAATTTTTCATAAGCGACCTCGCCATCACAAATGATAGCCCAATGAAATGGCTTATCCATTTATAGCAGCCAAATACTCAAAAGCGCTTGTTACTAATTGTGGAGGGAAAAAGAACCGGAGGACCCGGATAAAAATCCACGCCACCACGGGGAGAGAGAACATGCAATCTCCAAATATACAGGTGTCAGGGGGTGGGATCCAACCGACGACCTGTTGTATACCAGGCGAGGTCGTTAACATCTCGCCACCATGGCACAATACCTGGAACATGAAACAAGCGATTTAAAAGCAGCTACTGCAATTAGTTTAAAATGCATTTTAATGAATCGTGCATTTTTCATATTTATTTAGCCCATCGACACGTGGCTGGCCGTGTGTTCCACGCATTTATTTTTTGCCACCGTGGGCCTGAAACCCTTGGGCACTTTTAAGTGCCAGGCATTGCCTGGTAACAGGACTTGGTTGAAAGTCGCTGAAACCTTCAATGTGCGACGGACAAAATGAGATTATTTTCTTGGAAGGATTAAGTGGCTTACTGCTTTTGGTCATCAACCGCAGTGTGTGAATGTCACTTCAGGAGTAGGTCCCGCAGTGTGTGATAGGTGCACTCATCGCTTACACACGTGTGACGGTTTGCGCTGTTTAGTTATTTTGCAAGTGCAGTTGCTGGGAATCAGCCGTGCAGACAATATTGGCCGTGGAGCCGTTCATCGGCGTTTCTCAACAAACTGCATTCACCTGCCTGCACTTTGCGTTCAAGTGCATCCTTGATTTTAGTCCTGTCACTTTGAACACTTTCAAAGGGCTCGTGCGTGTCTGTGCGTTTGGCTTTGGATCCTCGTGCACGTTGGGGTGGGGGGGTGGTGGGTAAGGTAGCGCTGCCCGCATTGTGTCATACTCCCGCTTATTTTCTTTCGCGTTGTGTTGAACACACGGATTACATTTCGCCACCTTTTCACACTTTGGGTTCTTCTTCGGCGACTTCATCTGTTACCGTGTTGAATGGTGGCCTCAAATAGGCATCCCTGCGCTGCAATGCGGGGGGAATGAATTATGGTACTCAAATGCAAGCTACACAATGGAAGATTGCTTCTTTTTGTGATGTGGTTAACGATACTTATGATGATATTTTATAGAATCTTTGTATTCCGGTTAAGGGGAATTTTTTAGTTTCAGTAGAACCTTTAAAGGGAGACGCAACCCAAAAAAACAAAGGGCTGTTGTTACACCACCTGGGCTGTGTGTCTCGGACTGCCTGAAACGAGCTTGAAGTTTTAATGACAAAAAAGCTTTAAAATCACATGCATTTGTGATGTCACTGCGTTGGCATTGCAATAAATAATTTTAACCTAGTGGGACTTTGGTCAAATGTTGTACATTCATAATGATGGCCATAAGGTTAACCAACAGTTTAAAAGAACGATAAATTGAGTTTGTGTGTGTGAGCAATGTAACAGTAATATCACTATAGTGCTGTAACAGCGACCATGATTGTAATTAAAACAAAAAATCCTCCTTTGCAAAACTTTAAAAAATTTTCGGACATTCCGGAACACGCAGCCTTGGTTTATGTACACAAGACCTCGAGCTGATTTGTTTTTGTTTTGGATTTTCATCATCATCTAAGCCGGAAACATTCTTGCTGCAGCTGTTAGCTGCTGTCGGTGCTGCTTTGTGCACTCTCTCCCAGAGCCTGGGAAGACTTCCATGGGCTAGTGAACAACAGATGAGGCTGCTGCAGTGGGTTGGGACTTAAGCCTTACGCGTAGGGCCTCCTCCAGGTGCGAGCGAACGGGAAGTTCGCCGCTCGCTTTCCCGCACGCCCTCCACTCTGTCCCCCTCCTCCGTCGCGCATGGCCTGGCCTGGCCTATCGTGGCTTAATTGCAAAGCAACGAAATTCGTGAACACGGCAACAACCTAGCGGAGTTTCTGCCGTTCCGCATCGTGGGAAGGTGGAGCTTTTATTGTTACTCACCTCGCTGCCTTTGGTTTGGAATGTTTTTTTTACGCTTTTCCAATTAAGATTCTCAAAGCATCCCCTGCATTTCCTTTGTCCGTCATTTCGTCCATCCGTTTATGACAGGGGGAAGGCTCTAACTCGGAAATAGAATCCAGTGTGAACCTACCTGCAGCGTAAAGTTGTGTTGTGCTGCTACTAAGGCCCTGTTGAACACTGGTGAAATTTGTTAAAAGCATTCGCCAAAACGTGGAGACACACACCACGGGAAAAAAGGACCAATTGCAAACATGCACAAACTCATTTCGATTAGACAGCTACCATCAGCTTTTGTACTGATGTATATTTCCGAGGACAAAACACGTGTTAGAAAGCGTCGCATAATCCATGCACGTGCATGGATTTTTCATAACTTGCGTCTTATTTTTTGCTCAAACTTGGAGGTATTCTCAATGGAAGATGAAACCAAAAAAAATGCCTCTTTTCTTGCGTGTACCGTTAAAAACAAGGCATCAATCGCACAAGTGGCCATTAAAGAGAAACAATTAACATTTGTAAAATGCTAAGTTGCTGAACTTAATCGACAAATGAGTCTCGTTATTTCCGAGTGGAAACCCAGTAATTGTGAGTAATTAATTAGAACGTTGTAAAGATACTGCTACAGTTTTTGCATATGGGAGCGAGTTAAAGCTTATCTTTGTGAACTATAAAAAAAAAACATTAGTCAATGCGGTGTTAGTGGTGGTGGGGGGGGAGGTCAAGATATTTGCAATTGTGACAATTTATGGTGCACCCACAGAACCCAGTGTTAATATTCATTCGGGCAATGGAATTTTAATAATATGAAGCAGTGTTTCTTCACCTTAACTGCAGCCTTGCACACCTTTGATTCTCAATCGTCAAGACGTGTATAGTGTTAACAAGTACATAGGTTTGAGTAAACAAAGCAATTGTACTGACGGTGCCCGTGCTTAATTTGTGTTTTCGATTATTTACCTTCTAAAAAAATCTGGCCGTGTCTCGCACACCCAGAAAGGGCATCTCACACCGACAGGGGGGGTGCGTTCACCCCAGGTTTAGAGCCAGTGGTATAAAGCCTTGACACAAGGTAAGCGTATTCTTGGTTCTTTCGGTAAAGTCACGTAGAAGGGAAACAAAATAATAAAAATATAAAACAATACAATTCTCACGACGTTTCGTCGTGACTTTACCGAAAGAACCAAGACTAAGATGCTAGATGTATCATGTATGCATTTGTGAAATTAAAATGCAACTTCCGTGCAGTTTAGTTATGTGCTATAACATACGTAAAATAATGTTTCATCCTTGAACATGCAATATCAAATGCAAAACATGGTAAATGCCGGTATGAACATAGTGAATTCAGCGCTTGTGGATGATGCAGATTTCTGAGGCTCCCAAATTCCCGCTGGATTTCGAAGTTGCCATAGTTGGCAGGAGAGCGAGTGGGTTTGTGAACCCGTCTGTGTGGACGTTGGAACTTTTATTCTCTGGTATGCGTAGGGCTTTCTTCAGGAACTCTTTTTTTTCCTTCCCGTACGAAGCCAAACAACGCAATTGGCCTCGCATCCTCACCCTCCTGAAAGTAGTCTGGGTTCTCGGGAGAGGATTTCCTGGATGAATTCCATCCATTAGAAATTCTAGTCCCGTCGCCATTATGTGTGCTCACATAACGCTCGCACACGGATGCCATTGCTGTGCCTTTCCCTTTGCAGTGACTTATGCAGCTTCACTCTTCTGTACATCGTGCAGTAAGAGAAGCATGGCTCCTTTCAAAAGATTAGATCGGGGGGTCTCCAGCCAGTAGGTTTGTC